GGATCGTCTCGTTCTTTTGATTTTTCGATTAAACGTTCATTTGTGCAAAACCGAGTTGATTCTCACTTTAGTTTATACGTTTGATTTTCAGAGGATCGTCAAGCTTTGCAAGGCTTCCCCGTGGTGTCCTAAGGTTGTATATGGAGGCCAGATCGCTCAGTTGTACGTCGAAGAGTTAAAACACAAGGTAAGTTCAAAACTATGATTCTCGGATCCTAATGATCAGTCTGCTTGTGATGACGATTTGACATCGAAATTGTTAGAATCTCGCAAAGTGATAAATGAGAGAGTCGTAGAATACATCTTGAGCTTCGATTTGATACATTGTACTCCTTAAACAGACATTGTTTGCTAGGTCAAAACTCCTTTGAAAGTCGAAATCGGAATCTGGAATGATCATACTGTGTTATGTTCTTCTGTGATACTGAATGACCTGTTTCGGTTTGATGGTTTTTATGATTTTATGTGTTCATTATTTGAGAAAACTTCCTTCATGAAAGTTGTCAAGAACATTCAGATATGTCCACTGTAAAATTTTTATAAAATTCCAAACATGTTAGATTAGGATGATTAGCAGCGTCATCTAGGCATAGTTCTGGTGATTGATGAGTTTCTGAATGACCTTCATGCGTTCTTCGATTTTTATAAATTTGTATATTCAAAATCTAAAACAATATTCTTCAAGAAAGTTCACAATGAGATTGAGAGGTTTCCAGTGACACAAATTTTATCAAAATTGGAGTTCATTTTGATTTTCAAATGGATTTTTATGATTTAGTCAATATCTGTGTTCTGATCTGATTTTCCTTTCTTTGAAATCCAAAATATGTTTCTCTGAATTTGATAAACTTTGAGTCCTCTTTTGCGAAAACTCAAAACTAAAATTTTTTTTATTAGGGTCTTATTATATGTACTAAAAATTTTGAGGGCCTAATAGAAATTTTTATGGGGTCAATTTGCTAAAAGTCTCAGATAAGGTCCTCTCGGGCTAAAACTTGATTTGCAAACGAGTCCTTGGTGAAAACCGAATTTTATAAAAATTTGGAGGGCTTTTTAGAAAAAACTCAAACCATGAAAACTGTTATACAAGGAGAATCCTAACTGTTTAAAAATTTTTGACAGGATTTTGATATCGGTCACTATTTTTCCCACAATTTTTTTTGAATTCAAATTCAAACCGGATCCAGACTGTCACAGAGGGTAGAATTGTCTTTTTCATGAAAATCGGTGGGGAATTAGGAAAAATGGTCTTCTTGACTTTTTATCCTCATGACATAAGCTTTCTAATGACATCTGAGTCACTTCATTTTGACATCATTAGGTTGATTAATGATACTCAAACAGAATGGGTCCAAATTAGTAACTAATGATTGATTAAGTGGTCCTCTTATGAGGCTCACTTCCCATTGCTTGATTGGTTAAGAAACAAGGTCCATGGGCTTGAGTGCATGCTTTACTCATTGCTATGTATGTGTTTGTTAGATGTATGTTAGGCTCGATGCATGTTTGGTGGATAGCTCATTATGGTTACTTACAACTCAACTTTAGGGGTTAATCGATATAAGTTGCTGTTTTGTGAATGCAAATGGTAGCCCGTTATCATTAACCATTAATCAAATAATGTTAGATGATTAAATGGGTGGGTGAATCGAAATGCATGTAAAGCAAAGGCCGATCCTGAGGCCGGTGTTTAATTAGTGAATTGTTTGCATCATTTGGGAAAGTGAATACCATTTGCCCACAACAACAGGAGCAGGAGCTGGATGATTGCCTGAGATTGGGAAAGTGAAGTCGGGGAGGTGGGCTCTCAGAGTCATGTCGAGGCCGAATGCCTCTTCTAAGTGAGGTTGGAGAGAGTGTGAGGTGCGAACTTCCCACGATTTCTTCCGTAGGTGCTTTGGAGGAAAACCATCTGGAGCCACTGATTCAGCAAAGAAGCTCCCGCTGTTGTGACGGTGAATCTGGAACACTTGGTATGTGTCTCTGGGGTTGAAATGGCTCGGTCTGGTGTCCTTGATGGATGTGCCGAAACAAGTTGGTTCTATGTCCACGTCCCTCGAACATAAAATATCAAGATTGGTGATCAGTGATCAAGCAAATTGACGCAGGTAAGACCGTGATATGATTATTGTCTGTCACTAACTTTTTTTTTTCTCTTTTTTGTGAACAAAGACGGTTCTTTATCTTATCTATCGAACATTCCGAGACGAAAAGGCCTTGTAATGAAAAAAACTGGTAGTGAGTAGACTTGACTCACACCTTGCCTCTGGATTAATCAAGGCTTGTGTGGGTATCAGAATGCAACAGATGAATAAGCTGTTATTCGGATTCAGTTGCGACAAAAGTAGTCTAACATAACAGAGATGTTATTAATGTTTGTTGTGACTATAATTGGTCAAGAGAAATCAACGCTTAAGGCATATCCGTAGAACAAGTTGAGTGCAAACTGTTGTTAGTCCTATTACACGTACCCTCGATATTTGCCGTCTGCTTTTATGACGTAATAGTTGTTCAACGAGAGAGGCCTATCGAGTGCCGGAATGAACCAGAGCTTGGTGTTTGGGGACTCTTCATAAATTGACACGAAGGTTAGGACCCTGTCTTGAGGAAACGGAAACTTCGTCACCAATGTGTTCTCGCATATCCCACAGCAACTCGTGTTCTCTGCTTCTGCTACAGCTTCCTCGTCTGTGATCACCAGGTAGCCTGAAAATGGACCTTCATTTGGCAACTCGTCAACAGTGCTTAATGACTTCCTGCAAGTAGACAGAGCCAGCGGGGATAAGGACACTAGGAGTACCATAACTTTCGTACGGCGCTCACTTGAGTGCCATAACTTTTTTTTTGCTCACTTGAATGCCACATCGGAGTAAAATAGATCATTTGAGTGCCACTTCCGGCGAAAATAGATCACTTGAGTGCCATTTCCGACAAATGAGCTGATATGGATTTCTTAATTAATTTTTTGTTTGACGTGGACTTTTTTAATGTTATTTTATTGATTTTTTAAAAAAATTATTTTTCTTTTTCTTTCTTTTTTTTCTTTTTTTTTTCAAGGTTGGCAAGGGTCGCCGGTGGCCGCGAAGGCTCTCGCCAAATCCGGCGAGGTCGCATCGCCCGCGGCCACAAACGCCCTTGGTAAGACCATCATAGCCTCACCGGCCGCGGGCGCTGCGACGAAGGCTCTCGCCAGATCCGACGAGGCCGCCTTGCTCGCGGCCGCGAAAGCCCTTGGCGAGGCCATCGCGGCCTCACCGGCGTGGGCGAGGTTGCGAAGGCCTCGCTAAATCTGGCGAGGTTGCCTCTCCCGCGACGGTGATGGCTTTCGCCAGATCTGGCAAGGTCGCCTCGCCCGCAGCCGTCGAGGCCGCGGCGGCCTCACCCAGGGCCTTCGCGACCAAGGGCATGGCGGCCCTCGCCCAATCTAGGCGAGGCCTTCACATCCGGCGAGGGTCGCCGGTGACCCTTGCCGGCATTGAAAAAAAAATTTGCAAAAATAAAAAATTCAAAAATTCAAAAAAATATTAAAATATTATCCACGTCAGCTCCGGCAAAGCCACGTCAGATTTTCCAGCTACCAAATGGCATTTGGCACTCAAGTGATCACTTTTTCAAATTTTTGACACTCAAGTGAGTCAAAAAAAGTTATGGCACTCAAGTGAGCGCCGTACAAAAGTTAAGGCACTCCTAGTGTCCTTATCCCGAGGCCGCGTCACATACATTCTCTCTCTCTCTAATTGTGTGATTGAGAAGACTACTGCACCAATTCTTGATTGAGAGAATGGAAACTTACTTTAAAGAAGGCCAAACATGACATTTTTTATATTTGTTGATACGTTCCAAGGGTAGAATGAAATGGACACAATGCATCTCTCTGGCGATTACTCGTGCATTTCTTTTGAGCAAACATTACGTATTAGATTTTTGTATCATGCGCCCGCGCCCTAACGCATCTCTCTGTCTTTGATTGCGGCGAATTTTAGCTATGTCTTTTGTATTGAAACCACAAACAAACAAAAAAAAGGGAGAGAATTTCTGAGTAGTTGACAATTGAGAAGACTAGTGCAACGTACGGCTCAGCTGACATTGATGTGAATAATTTTTTAATTATTTTTTATTAATTTTTTTCATTTTTTGTCTTTTCTCTCTTTTCTTTCTTTCATTTGTTAATTCACAGGGCCGGCAAGTGCAACGGCCATCCTGCTTGCGCAGCCCACACTAACGTCAAAATTTTTTTTTATTTAAAAAAAATTTCCGAATTTATCTTTTTTTTGTCTTTTTTATTCACATGGCCAACGACCCCCGCCAACCTCAGGCCGAGGGTCACAATCCCCACCAGCCCTAGGGAGAGGGCCGCGAAGCCCTCGCGTGCCACATGCGAGGGTCACGGCCCTCGCCCAAGCCCTCCTCAGTCACAACGAGGGCTGGCAAGGGCCGCAACACCCTCACAAGGGCTGGTGAGGCCTCACACGTGGCCGGGGAGGACTTTGAGGCCCTCACCTAGGGGGCTAGCGGAGGTTGGCGGCCCTATGAAGAAAAAACAAGAAAAAAAAAAGAAAAGAAAAAGAATCAATAAAAAATTTAGAAATTTTTTATAAAAAATTTTAAAAAATTTTCACGTCAAAACTAGACAACCATATCAGTGATTTCCGATAAAAAATAACCAAAAAAATTACATTGGCAATTCGTTAAAAATTAAGTTTATAACTAAATTGGCAAATCTTCAAAAGATTTAAGACTAAATTGGCATAATTGAAAAGTGTAAGACTGAATTGGTCATCGTACAAAATGTTTAGGACTTTTAAGACAATTTTGTACTGAACTCTTTCTCTTTCCGGCCTTTTCACCTAGCCCTGTGAGTGCAGACACCATTGAAGCACATAAGAAGACGTGAGTGTTTTGTGAAGTCAATTGACCAACACAATTGAATAAACAAGAGATCAGTTGACCCACTTTTCTCAACCAAAAAAAAAAAAAAAAAACGAATTGAACGAACAGAGTTGAAAATATGTAAATTTTTTATCTCATAGATCAGTAGAACTGTTGTGAGCAATGGGATGAGCATAGAAGTAGGCCATGGCCGTGTCGGGGAAAATTACTGGAACTGCTGGTATGTGTCTTCCGGATCAAATGCTTTAGGCTACTCATTCTGTTAGGTCTTTTGCGAAAACAATCGCCAACCATAATCTTGCTCCCTCGAGCACGTGCGCGACTACCTGCAAAACCAGCAAGAAGTTTGTTTTCATCCATGAGTTCATCAAACTTACGGAGTTCAATGACTGTAACATGCTCAAACCTGGATCTTGACTGTGTAGAAAGCATACAGAGTTTAGGCAATACTCGGGATTGCTTGCCTATGGGTCTTGACTGTGTCTACTCATCGAAATTTAACAGGAAAAAAACATGCAAAGTGGGGTTGTAGCGAGTTGAATTACATCTGCGTCAACCCTTTTGTTTAATAACCGGAGACAAATAATTAAGGATGATTATAGAAGATGAATAAATAAATAAAAAGAGGCATACCTTCTGTATTTTCCATCTGCAGCTAATAGCAAGAGAAAGGTTGGATGACAAAGGCCGATCAAGCACAAAGAATGAACCAGAGCTCAGGGAGTGCATCGTCTATGTTCCTCAATTCGAAGAGCGAAATCCTGTCTTGAGGATGGTAGATTGGTGAAACCTTTCTTTTTCTTTTTGCTGAATTGATCCAGTGATGTGACAATAATGAAATCTTGAGCATTTGGCATGCACACCTATGTGTGAATTCTACTGGCTATGGCGTGGAAGGCAGATATTTAGGTTTGTTTGACTGAGTACAGAGTTTGATTTCTCTGTTATTTGATCCTGCAAATTGAATGAAACTGTGAAGCACTCCACAGAAAACCCATGGAATGAACATTGGATGACATCCAGAAATGAGAATCAGTTCATCTGTACAGGAACTTTCTTTGGTACAAGCAATTAAAAATACAAAAGAAGGAAGAAGAACGAGCAGCATGTAAGATGCGCAATGTTTTGGAAACAAATACCAAAAACACTGACAATGTGGTCTCAGAAATTACACTTCTGATGTAAAATATCAGAAGCCGTAAGGAAGAATTTTGCCAATCAAGTCGAACAAGTCAATTGAAATGTGGCAAAAGCAGGTACTATTGAAAAGAAGTTCAGACAATGGTAAGTCACCACCGTATCAACACATTGCAAGCTCCTCAATAAACAACAGAAGATGAGGCTTTTGTCAAATGTTTAAATGAATCCCCGCCTGTTGGTATATCTTAAGTGGGTACAGCGGGCCCAGAAGGCCATGTTATTCCTCAATCAGAAAATGGAAGTCCAGCATTCAGTGTCAGAAATGACTTCACTATCCCCATCATCTCTCCTCCTGGAAAACGTCCTTTACATCCCCTCGCCGCCGCAATCTCACTGAACTCGTAGACAGTCACCGTTGAAGGCTCGTATTTGATTTTTCCCTCCCTCTTTTTGCCTAGCCACATCTTCTTCCATGTCTTCTCCATTCTTAACGGTAGGAAGGGCAAAGGGATCAAGAGAAGTTTCGGCAAGAACCGAGTCACCACCTACAGCACCGACAGGGTCCTTCAACCAACATATCGCAAATGGAAAAGGTTCAAAGCTGTGGTCTCCATTTTCGACTGGTGTAGAGTGATCCCCAGTCACGCAAAGAGCGTACTGAAATTTCCCGGTTGATTCCGCTTGCCAAAGTAGTCAGGCTAGTTGCCCAATAGCAAAGCTTAATTAGTAAAGCTTGATTGTGCGTGCGACGATCTGCGGTAGCATCTACAGAGAAGTCATGTTAAGAGCCATGTACGCAGCACAGTTGAGGCATGTGTATGGCACATGACCACTCATGTTAGGCGCCTACCAGTGTGTGACGGTCTAGGGAGAAGCAGTAGAATGACCATGTGAATGACACATGGTCTTGGCATGAAATTGGCACATGATCGACTCATGGGTGAGGGATGTGAGCATTGGTCATGTGAAATGCACATGTGACCGTGAATTAAGATAATGTGAGTGTGGATTTCAAGGCTTGTGAACATGAATTTGTTCGACAAAAAAAAAAAAAGAATTTGAGGGCTTGTGGATACCTGTGATCGTGTCACATGATGTGATTTGATATTGCCTTAGGGTGCGCATGGAATGCATTCCGGAATAAAAATTCTGTTCCGGAATGCATTCTGGAACAGAACGGCGTTTGTTAAAAAATTTCCGGAATGCATTCTGGAGCGATTTTTGCATTCTGAAATAAAAATGCGTTTGTTAAAAATACTTGATTCCAGAATGCATTCTTGATTTCAGAATGCATTTTTGATTCCGGAATGAGTTTTTGGCAAGAAAAAGAGAAGCTACTTTTTGTAGTTTCTTGATTCCGGAATGCATTCTCCCTATTTTCTCACAAATTTTTTTTCATAAAATGCATAAAAATTGAAAAATTCTAGAAAAATTCATAAAAATTTCCAGAAAATAAAAAAAAGTCAGATTTCGGGAAAATATGAAATTTGGTGAATTTTTTTTAAAAAATAAAAAAAATCAAAAATTTCAAAACTTCACAGAATAGCTTAAAACACATATGGCCACCCACTTTGAGTGAAATTTAAATTTTTTGAGGTGCCCAAAAAAAATCAAAAATTTCAAAACTTCACAAAATGACTTAAAATACCTGTGGCCACCCACTTTGAGTGAAATTTAAATTTTTTGAGGTGCCCAAAAAAAAAAAAACAAAAAATTTCAAAACTTCACAGAATGGCTTAGAATATCTGTAGTCACCCACTTTGAGTAAAATTTAAATTTTTTGATGTGCCCAAAAAAATAAAAAAATAAAAAAATTCAAAACTTCACAAAATGACTTAGAATACCTGTGGCCACTCACTTTGAGTGAAATTTAAATTTTTTTAGGTGCCCAAAAAAAATTTAAAAAAATCAAAAATTTCAAAACTTTACAGAATGGCTTATAATACATGTGGCCACCCACTTTGAGTAAAATTTAAATTTTTTTAGATGCAAAAAAAAATTAACAAATCAAAACAGATTTCTGTTCCAGAAATCAATTTCTGGAGCAGAATTAGTCATGTTTTACCAAACAGATTTCTCCTCCAGAAATCAATTTCTGGCAAGAATTCCAGAAATCAATTTCTGGCAAGAATTTGATTTCTGGAGCAGAATGGTTACCATTCGCACCCTTATTTACCATGTCCGTCTCCCCAATCTTGGAATCGTTCGAGTTACTATTCAAGACCCTAGGACTTCCCCATTCTTGGAAAGCTTGAGTTCAACTTGATGGTTTCGAGCTCCCATAATGTTGGAAATTTAATGGCAAAAGGACACTATAAGTGCCATAACTTGTGTACGGAGATCACTTTGGTGCCATAACTTTTTTTCGGATCACTTTGGTGCCAAGTCGGAGGAAAAATGATCACTTAAGTGTCATAAGTTTTTTTTGGATCACTTCAGTGCTAAAATTTTTGAAAAACGATCACTTAAGTGCTAAAATTTTTTAAAAACGATCATTTAACTGCTAAAATTTTAGAAAAACGATCACTTAAGTGCCAATCTCCGACGAGCCTCCGGCGAGCCACGTCAGCTTTAGAAATTAATAAAAAAAATGCCACGTCGGATTTCCGGCGAAAAATTGTGTACGACACCGGAGTTGGCACTTAAGTGATCGTTTTTCTAAAATTTTAGCACTTAAGTGATCGTTTTTCAAAAATTTTAGCACTAAAGTGATCCAAAAAAAACTTATGGCACCAAAGTGAGTGCCGTACACAAGTTATGGCACTTGTAGTGTTCTTTTGCCGAAATTTAATTCTAGACTTGCCTTACCTTTCGGACCCAAACTTGAACTCCAAGAATATTGGGAATTCAAATTCCGACCTCATCTCTAATGTTCAGGTCCAAGAATGTTGGAATTCTCAATTTCAAGCTCATCTCCCCTCCTTATTATGAATTTCTCTCCGGGCTACTCATCAACTTCATCTCTGGTTCCTGTAACATGGGTTAATCCTAAAATGCAATGGAAGGTATCCTAAAATCTAGATGTAATTCAAATATGGATGATGTAAACGATATTTCTTTTCGGTGTCGGGGTCGATTCCTAAAAATCCGATACAACATTTGAGGGAGCCAAAATTAAGGTGTCAATAATGCCATTTGTCTTCTTAAAGTACAACCTTGGTTTAGGCTACTCAAGCCTTCAGCGGAGTCGTAAAACTGTTGTGACCTTCCCAAGGTGAACTACTAAGGAAAAAGCCAGTGAATTACTAAGCTGGAACGAAGGTTCCTTTGATGAGGTGACATTATCGATTAGCATGGGCCCTCCCAAGCCCTAATAACTACAACTTAAGTTTTCTATTCAATCATGTAATGCAACTTACCTTGGAGCCGCAATCATCATTTTTAATGCCCTTTCGATGTATTTTCTATTTTATGAAAACGTTTTCCATGCAATCATCATCACTTTATTATCTTTAAGCCACTAGCATGTGAAAAGCATCGTACATTGTGCGCAAACAATAAAAGTAACACTCTATAATCAAATTGGTAATTAAAACGGTAAATATATTACAAAAAATAAAAAGTTAAAGAACCCGAGATGCACCCAACAAGCTAAAATAATGCCTCATTATTGATCCTCAAAAACCCGGCGGACTACGAGATGCAATACCATATTGCATGATTGACATGAAACGCCTGAGGTACGGGTGACAACGCATAAATATGAAAGTTACCCACATCACACTTCAACATCACTACAAAAAAACACCGGATTAGCGACGAAATTTGCGACGGAAAATTTGGAAAAATCCGTCGCAAATCGAATTTGCGACGACTTTTGCGACGGAAAAAATTCTGTCGCTACTAGGTCGTCGCAAAATTTTGCGACGGAAAATTTAAAAGTTCGTCGCAAAATTGCGACGAAAATAAATTCGTCGCAAAATTAGTCGCAAATTAGCCACGAATACAATTCGTCGCAAATATTTCGTCGCAAATTCGCGACGAACTCTATCCGTCGGAAAATTCGTCGGAAAATTCGTCGCATTTTCGTCGCAAATTTCGTCGCAATTTCGTCGCAAATTCCGTCGCAAATTCCGTCGCAAATTCCGTCGCAAAATCGTCGCAAAATTCGTCGCAAAATTAGCGACGAATACAATCCGTCGCAAATTTGCGACGAACCGTCGCAAAATTCGTCGCAAATTTCGTCGCAATTTCGTCGCAAAATTCATCGTAAATTTCGTCGCAAATTTCGTCGCAAAATTCGTTGCAAAATGTATTCGTCGCTGTCGCGACCTAAAATTTCTCTCAGGCTAATAGATTGTTAAGACTAAGCCTAACTCGATCCCTCCCAAGTCCTAGCAATTCGCAACTTAGGGTTTAAGTTTTTTAACATGCAAAAGTTTTCATGCTTGGAGTCGCCACTAATCTATTTGTGGTAGGTCGATTAGAAACCTAAATAAAACATAGGGAGATATGTTTTATTCCTACGAACCAGAGATTCTAAGCTCGGGGACTTGATTACGCTAGATCTAGTCTAACGCCCTTTCGGTACCTTTTCTTTTCAAAAACATTTGTGCAGACAGTCTGGATCCATTTTAACTTAGTCACTAGCATGTGAGGTGATCATGCGGGTGCGCAAACCACCAAAGTAACACCCAATAATCAAAACATTAAATAAATTACAAGATTGGGAGAATTACTTACCTCGAAGCAACGTAAGCATCTGCATTGTTAGCTAGAAAATCACATCAACAATTCTAATATAATTTCTAATTAACAAGTAGTTCACTCAATATTTTTTAGGATTTTCACTTATTTAAATGAAAACTAACCTATATGTAATGACATGCAAAAATTAACATGCGATTAATGCAGCCTAACATGCAAACTATATGTCATGCGACGACGTGACCTAATTCTAATGACGGACAAATGATTTATTTTTGGTATTTTCAAATGAAATTCGGAATTAAAAAAAATGCCTAAATTAACATGCAATCTATTCTAAAAAAAAAGATAATTTAATCTATCCTAAAGTGGCTTCTTTTTGGTATTTTTATGAAAATTCGAAATCAAGAATTACCCTAAAATGAACCGTCGAGATCAGGATAATATCTAAATTAAACTAGGAAATAAATTACTCTAATTCCTAATTTAAATTAAAAAGTTATCCTATCGACTTATTCAAAGAAAGTTATTCTAAACCTATCCTAAACATGCATCATTATCTTCTAATAAAATCAATTCAAATCCTAACTAATCTTTTTTTGGAATTTTCTTTTTAAAGAAATAAATCAAACAGACAGATAACCACCGCGATCAAAATCAATCCACGCGATCCGCAATATTTGTTTTATTATCTTTGAATTAGGGAAACGATATAAACCGGCGATCATATCCATGTGGTTATGGATATTGATGGAAGGCTATTCGTTTGAATTTGGGAACAAAATAAAATCTATTATCGTATCCAAATTGTTATGGACAGGATAAAGATTTTCCGTGCCGCCGAGTATCGTATCTGATGAGTGAGATCGGATAGTCGTCCCGACACGTTGTTAAGTTAGGAATTTCCTAACTTAGTGTATTTTTTGGAATCTTGCGAATATGCCATGCATCATTCAAATATATCTACTAACCAACCAAAGACAACAAAATCACTCGAATTAGGAATTTAAATATTTGAAACGATATCGGATAAAGTTTCTTACCTAATTTACGGATAACTTCCAAATTCGAGTTTGATGCCGGATTGGGTTTGCGGATCACGGGACGGCCGACTGTAAGTGGGACAGCGGCGTAGACTCAGCTCGCAGCGGTTTCCGGCTCAATTTGCGGTGATGCTCGTGAATCACGGGAATTGGTGATAGTGGTACTCGACGACGAGGACGGTGGGATAATGAGGCGATGCTCGGCCTTGGCGTGAAGCTTTCATTGGCCGACGGTGAAGAGTAGCGGCGATGTAAGTGACTGTCAACAGACCGTAGGGGGCACCTAAGAATCTGCAAGAAAAACCACCAAAAGCATAAAATTGTTTCGTCGAGTTTCTAGTATCAAGATTAACTCGGTTGAGCACATCGGGGACTGATCACTCTTTTCCACTCCAACTCTTTTTACTTTCTATTTATTTCTTTCGCTGGGAAGGTCCATGAAAGAGATGGAGTGCATGAGAGAAATTCAACAGATCTACGTGTCGATGGAATGCTCTTGAGGATCTCCCACTTTGAACCCTTTTTTATTTTATTCTTCAATCCACCACTTGACTTTTGTCCTCTTCTCTCCTATCAACTTTCGGTCACTGATTGTGCGGCGGTGTGGGACGGACCGAGGTTGCGGGGACACCAGGGAAGTCAAACAAACTTGTTGGTCGCAAGAGAAATCGTCAACAAACTGGGATCTCCTGGAACCGGGAGGTCGGAGACGCAAGAGCTCGCGACGACTACTTTGACGTTCGTTGGATTCGCTGGACGTCCTGGATGAGCAGCTCTCGGTGGCAGGTGCAGCAGGAACCAGTGACGATACAGAGTGCAGGCGTTTGTTCAGGTTGGTGACGACAGCGGGAGCAGCGGCGGGCCAGGCGCGGGAACAGCGGTGGGGCACGTCGGATGGCGGTGGCAACGATCAACCCTCTCTCTCTCTCTCCCTCCTTGCTCTCGCTCTCGTGTGCCTCTCGTGCTCTCAAAAATCGTGTTCTGAAAATTATCAGAGCCCCTTTGATTATGACGCATAACGACATATTTATATCGCAACCCTAGGTTAATTAACCGGGCTTCCTAGTCCTAATGGGCATAGACTTAGGCTTTATCATTTAATTTAATTTTAATTCCAAATGGGCTAAATTAATTCGGGCTAATTTAAGCTCAAATTAAAACAACCAAAGCCGTTTAGACTTGTGAATTTTGGCCCCCAATCCCTTGAGTGAGCCGAGTGCTCGAGCTCGGTTTACGCGATGAATTTTCAGCTTTCTCGCCACCGCCGGTCCGATGCGGAATGCAACTAACCTATATGAACTTAAACTATATGCTATGCAATTTTAATATTTTTGTTTAGGGGTTAAAATTTAATCCCTAATTTTCTATGCAATTAATCTCTAAATTGTTAGTCAAAATTTAGGTGTTAACAGCTGCCCCTCTTTGAAGGTGAGCTCGCAGAGGTTGCATTCAAAGACTAAATGATGCCTAAATTTTGGCCATGAAAATGCAATGAATGTTATTTTTGATGGGAGTATGAGTCCCATTTTGAAATGCAATAAGAAATGATGCATGCTGACGTGAATAAAACATACCTGGAGTTACTTACCTGACAAGAGTGGTAGCGTAATTCGAGGCATGACTCCGACTTTGTAGGTTGACAATCACTTGGGCATTGTCCCAAAGATGTTGCCTGATAAACTATTGGGGGGGCTCCGGTGACCTGCAATTCAGTCAAGACACACAAAGAAAGTTCGAGACATCCAGTTATCGTCTGGGGTGCTCGAGAGAAAGATTTAGCAAAATAGAAAATGTTCCGACATTTACAAACTACCTATACATCGCCATAGGTATTCGTAAAGATTTGGCCGTTGCACTTAATTATCATCGTAGGTGCGACACGGGGGAACTTTCCGAGATCGGGAGGATATTCCGACCTTTACGAGATACCTATACATCGCCATAGGTATTCGTAAAGATTTGGCCGCTTCACCTATACCTTCCTCATAGGTGAGCCGCGGGGGAACATCTGGGATTGAGAGAACATTCCGACCTTTACGAGATACCTATACATCGCCATAGGCACTTGTAAAGATTTGGCCGCTGCGCCTATACCTTTCCTCATAGATGTGTCACGGGGGAACATCTGGGATTAAGAGAACATTCCGACCTTTACGAGATACCTATACATCGCCATAGGCACTTGTAAAGATTTGGCCGCTGCGCCTATACCTTTCCTCATAGGCATGTTACGGGGGAACATCTTCTGAGATTGGGAGAATATTTCGACCTTTACGAGATACCTATACATCGCCATAAGCACTTGTAAAGATTTGGCCGCTGCGCCTATACCTTCCTCATAGGCGTGTCACGGGGGAATCTTCTGAGATTGGAAGAATATTCCGACCTTTACGAGATACCTACACATCGCCATAGGCACTTGTAAAGATTTGGCCGCTGCGCCTATACCTTTCTCATAGGCGTGTTACGGGGGAACCTTCTGAGATTGAGAGAATATTCCGACCTTTATGAAATACCTATACCTTCCTCATAGGTACTCGTAAAGATTTGGCCGCTGCACCTAGTTATCATCATAGGCGCGACACGGGGGAATCTTCCCGAGATTGTGTGAAAAGTGTGCCTAACAAAATATCTAGTTATCATCTAAGATATTTGAAAGGACTTGATCGATAAATACCTGGATATCGTCGCAAGTACTTAACGATGGCTGAACCAGGGGCTAGCCCGAATGTTCAGGGGTTCCTTGACAAAGTACCTGGATATCATTAGAGGTACCTGAAAAGGCTTGATCAATAGATGCCTAGATATCGTCAGAGGCGTCTAGAGATCGCAACAAAATGATCAAATATGGGACCTAATAATTGCCCGAACAGGTTAGAGATACCTGAATAGTTACAGACATCCAAGAGATAGAGATAAACTTACCTGGTGATATCTCCGACTCTTGAGGACGTGTCTCCTGCTGGACACGGTTTTAGGCAATATGTAATATGCATTCATGGACAATCAAGAACACATATACTCATGCACTATAAATTCAACTGGTTTTCATGCATGACGATTTTGTCAAATCAGCATTACTAAATTTCATTGGGGAAAATCATGATAAGACAATCTGAACTCACAAGTAGGTGTCTTGAAAATGTCAAATGAGGGACTTTCAGTCTGAAAGGGCTTTCACTCACTCTCATCGAAAAGTGGCTAATTTATGAAAATCACTCTATCTCACCATCATCATGTCGACAAGGGTCCGAGTATTCTCGCAAGCGGTACAACCTTACCAATCTGAGAGGTCTTTGCTAGGACCGTAACGTGGGATTGGTCAATGGCTTAGCAAAAGGGGACTCTTCGAGTCGAGGCTATTGAAAGAAAATACTCCGCGATCGTCTCCGGGTTTACAAGTCAAGAATCCTGCAAAATGAGATAGAAATGGACTTGCTCGCACTTCTTCGAGTTAAGCTTATAAACACCCAAATCCTACGTTAGTTCAAGTGCCATAATCTGAAGAGACTTTACAATGGACGTAACGTAGGCTAGGCTCATGGGTTGAGAAATGAATGGATCATTATGCTCAAAATGTGTATAATTGGGGTGAATAAGTTGGTGATCATCTCGGCATTATCACCGGTCTTCTTCTTTGCCTTCAAGAATTGTCTTCTTGGTAGGTGTACTATCAGTCTTGAGTTCACCACTTGATTCCTTCGAGACTTGTAAGACCATTGCTCCACTGGGATTCATGACTTTGACATGTCATATCTTGACATTTTTTTCTCTAAAGTTCTCCCTTTTTTTCGACTTTTCTTTTTTTTATTATTTATGGGCATGTCCTTACTTTTACCAGGCACACTGCTTTTTTATGCCCCTTAGTTTTCATTTTTTTTCATTCATCATTTTTTTTTTGACTTTTGACACACTATCCACAATGCATACATTGGCCAACCACATTTTGGCTTGTTTTGACCGAATGACTGACATTTGGACTCTCAGGGTCTTCGTCTTCTATCGATGCTCCGGATATGCTGCGTCGATAGTGATGGCTTTTACCCTACCCCAGTGTGGGGGATGATCACCAACTGGGTTTAAGAAACGAATTTGCAGGCTCAATTGGGCTTAGCAAAGGATAAATTGTGTATAGGATAGACAAAGAAATGCTCTTCGTCATCCTAAGGCACTTGAATTTCATGTGAATTTATCTGAAAAAACAACACTCGAAGATTGATGTAAGTGAGAGCAAGACAATCTCTATTCATTTTTCCACCTTATAATGCTGACTTACCTCCAATTTGCCCCAGTGTGGGGTGGTTCTTGACATGGGTAATTTGAAAGGATTTCTCCAAGCATTTAGGCTCAAAGTGGCGAAACAATGGATAACCTGTAGTGTTTGAGATAGAGAAATGAAATGCCTCTTGTCATTTCGGTCACTGTACCTTTTGCGAGATAACCCTTCACCTTACCGATATGGAATTTTTCCACTCAACTCATTGGGGATTAGTGTATGGGACTGTGTATGGGGCATGTTTTGCCTTTCATCATCCCGATGTACCTCATTCAACACATTCAATTCACTCCACATGAGTTATTAGGTTGTTCAAACAGATTCCCCCTTTTGAAATCGATGATGCAGACTAACAAAATAACCATGTAGAATTTAAGGCCAATGCGCACATCTCAACTTGAAATTAATTGAAACCATTTTATTCATTGATGAAATGTTTGCAACTCAGAAGACGAAAACCAAACACATGAAAACTTTTGCTGCAAATACTAAATTCTGTCAGGGATAATACATCTTCATAGCATTAACAGGAGTGGAAAACTCACGACCGTCCATTTCTACGAGAATCAGGGCACCTCCAGGAAGCACCTTTTTTGATCACATATGGACTGATGTAGTTTGGTGCGAATTTGCCCCCAGGAACAGGAAAGATTGGCAGTACTTTCCTTAGGACAAGGTCAATTACTTGGAAATGTCTTGGACGTACCTTTCGATTGAAAGATCCAGCTATTCTCCTATAGCAACTGGATCAGGCATTTCGTCTCACTCTCAGGGAGATTTGCTCTTATCTTTACTTCTTTGGGTTCCTCCGCATCACCCAAGTTAATAGTGACAGTTTGGTCTGACGTGAGAACTTTGGACCTTTTGTGACGCTCTAAATCACGCTGAATATCCGAGGAGTCGTCGAGTTCGTCGGTGTCATTGGGATCAAGCTCGGCTGCACATGATTCATCAAATTGGACCGTTTCCATACCCTCACGTGTCACAAGATTGCCCCTGAAACATAAAGTAGGGGGTTCAGAAGGACAAACAGGGCTAAACAATTTATTTTTATTTATTTTTTTATTTTTTTGTGACTTTTTTTTTCGAAATTCTTTTAAAAAAAACTTTAACACGAGGAAGCATGAAGAAGCCCAGGCCTCAGAATTCTCCTTGGACTATATTTTTCTTTTATTGGTTGGATATCATCACCGGGCTGGTTTGATGTACCTCAACATGCCCTAAAAAATGAAAATAATTTGTAATTTCATTGATTATCTCCAAATGAATTACATTTATTGAATGGAAATTGCAACGGTGAGACCTAGAAATGAAAAATCCTAAAAAGCAGCTCCCGAGATGGGGCAAGTCCTAGAAAGCAGTAAAAATTCCCACGCAGGGGAGTGTGCGAAAAAAAAGTAAAGGTGTTACTCTTGCAGGCCAGTGCCCATTCCCTCCAGCGGTCCTTCTTCGATAGTTCCAATGAAGAGATCATCGAACAAGGTAGTGATTCCATCTATTGCATCATCAGGATCTTCTGTCATTAGAGGTGTTGGATCATCCATACCTCCCCATCCATCCGGGACAATGTTACAGGGGTCAACATAGAAGCTCGGGGGCGCCGAGTATTTCACATAATAATCGAACTTGCCGCTCGGTTGCCCCAAAGTGTTGATCACCTCTTTCTCTTCATGCATCATTCTTGCAGGGCCTGGGAATGTGGCACGGATGTGTGGAAGCAACCTACCACGCCCACGTACTTCACCATTCGGCTCTTCTTCGGATCGCTGACTATTCTGTCCATCTCCTCGACCTCGACCTCGACCGCGTCCACGTCCACGTCCACGTCCACATCCACATCCCCCATTATTTGGCTCGTTTAACCCCTGGTATCCCAACCCAGTAGTGTGGGGCCTCTGAGAGACTTCCACCGGTTGGCGGATACCTTGACCATTCCTACCAAGGCCTTCACCCGGAGTAAAGCCATGGGACACCATTACTCTTCCAACCATGACTGCAGCATTTGACACCTCAGGAATGGGCGGTGATGATCCTCTAGACGCATGTATGGTCAACACGAGCTCGAGCGACTGATAGCTCGATTCAATTTTGCAATCCGGCTCAACATAGGGGATAGCCGTCGCGTGGTAAATTGGGTGCTCTTCTTCACCGTGCACTAACTTTCTCTCCACAAAGAACTTCACCCTCTGATGTAGACTGGATGGCACAGCTCCGGCAGTATGAATCCATGGACGACCCAACAAAAAATTGAATGCGGTGGGAATGTCCATGACTTGAAATAGGATGTTGAATATTGTTGGTCCTATCTGTATGTCAAGGTGGATTTCTCCCATCACTTCTTTCTTCGTTCCGTCAAAAGCTCGCACGGAGGTCTTCGCAGAATTTATCCGAAAAGGATCTATCTTGAGGCGGTGTAAAGTCGCCAAAGGACAGATGTTCAAGGCCGATCCGTTGTCAATGAGTACCCGGGCTACATGCGAGGCCTTGTATTTGACAGAAATGTAAAGTGCCTTGGTATGCCCCCTCCCTTCCAGAGGGAACTCTTCATATGAAAAGGCTATGAGGTCCTTGAGGAGTATAGAACCCACAAATTCCTCCAATTTGTCATGATCGATCGTCTCTGGCACGTGGACTTCACTTAACACCTTCATTAGGGCCTTTTGATGCTTGACAGATGTCTAGAGTAGTTCAAGCAGAGAGATTTGCGCGGGCATCTTGCGCAATTGTTCAACTATATTATATTCGCTAGCCTTAATCACAGCTAGAAACTCCTTGGCTTCTTCATCAGTAACAAGTTTTGTAGGTTGGGCATTAGCTTGGCCATAGATACGCCCAGATCTGGTAACCAAGTCAACATCGAGACTGTAAGACCAATGGACTGCCTTATCATCACTGTACTTATACGGTTGAGGTATTTCGATCATTATCCCTTCATCAGCTGTAGGCGTGCTTACTACGATCTCTTCATCATCGGACACGTCTTCGAGCGGAGGCATGTCTTCAAGTAAAGGGTCAAGCTTGTCCTTCCCGGTGTTCAATGTAGCAAACTCCTCCTCCCAATTAATAACCACTTCGGAGATAGTAGAAACGGTGCCAGTGTGATCAGCATAAATGATCATTCCAGCTTCTACCATTCTTGAGATTCTTTCTCTCATGATAGCCAGGGGAAGGACCTCGTAACTCGGGTAATAACCGGCTTTCACTAACTCACCGTAGACGTCGGTGGTATACACCTTGACATTCTTGATTCGACCAGCATCGAAACTAAATATTGCATTCACATTGCCCGCGTGATCAGGGAGCGGGTTGCTCTGAACATTCGGCTTAACGAGCTGAAACGAGAAAGCCTTCGTGTCCAGGAGGTTCTGGATTCGGTGCTTGAGGGTAAAATAATCGTTGGTTGAGTGCCCCACCTCGCCCATAAGATAATCGCATTTCTTAGACGGATCGTAGTTATAGAACTGCTCAGGATTGGGCCGCTTTGGCTCAGTGGTAAGCAAACCTTTCTTCCGGAGGACCGCCAGTACTTGAGATAACGACCCGGGGAGGGGGTTGAATTGCCTCTTGTTGTTTTTCTTCGGAAAGGGTTGACGACCCATGCTTTGTTGTTGAGCTTCTGCTACTTGGATTGCTGGGATAGGGTTAGCATTCCGCCGGCCCGGTTGGGTATAAGTCACATTCACTTCAGCTGCCGGTTCTTTCTCCTTTCTTGTACTAAATCTGTTGGTCGAAGAAGACGGCTCCACAAACCACCCATCTTTCAGCCCTATCTCAATCTGTTCGCCTATGGGGATGAGTTGATTGAAGTTGTCAGCCGGAGTGGCTACCATCCGATTACGGTATTCGAACGGTAGAGTTTTAATAAACATCCTCTTCAATTCACTATCTATGGGTTCTGGGATAATCTGTGCGGCTATGTTTCTCCATCTGATAGCACAATCCTTGAATGACTCATTCTTCTTCATCTGAGCACGCTCGAGGTCATCACGGGTGGGAATGATGTCCGTTATGAACCTGTACTGCTTTAGGAATGCTTCGCTAACTTCCTTCCAGGTTTTGAGGCCATTTATCTTCTTCATGAGATACCACTTCAAGGCAGGACCCGTCAGACTTGCCTGAAATGCATGAATCATCAGAAGTTCATTATCAACGTACGGTGTCATTTGTACGTGATATAGCTGCAGGTGGGCTTTTGGGCAGGAGGTGCCATTGTACTTGTCAAAGTCTGGCATCTTGAACTTCTTCGGGATTTTGATCTGTGAGTACAGAGACAAGTCAATTGAGGGTGAATCATGTGAGCCTTCCAGCTGCTTCACTCTCTCTTCAAGTTTGTTAACCCGTTCATCAGGTTTGTCCTTGTTGACGATAATCTGGACGGGGTCATCTACTAAATCGGGAAGGTCGTCATCTTCCTCACTATCGACATTTTTTCCACCTTTATGCTTTAGGGCTGATGCCTCAGGGGATGTAGGAACGGGAGTCAGCCGAAGGGTTTTAATCTCAGCGGACATCTGTTGCATTGCGACGAGGAGTTGCTTCATTTGGTCCTCAATGCCAACGACACGATCTCATAAGTCAGTTTGATCTGCCATTCTAGTTCTCGACTGCGTACGAATAGGCGATCGTGATCGGTCCGTAATTACCTGATGTAAAGGAAATGAACCAAATAAGCACATGGTCAAGACAAGGTTGGTCCATGACACACTTCTAGTCTTTTTTTGTTTATTTATGAAAATATTCGTATATGGACGAGACTTTATGAAAAGTGATCTAGGCAAAGAAATGTAAATAACGCCCTAGACACAACCTAGGAAATAGAAGCACCAAAATCCCTAATCATAAAACTTTGAAAAACAAAAATTGAGACTCCCTAGAAACTATGAACTGAAAACAAATTCTCTAAAGCCCTTTTTTTTTGTAAAAGAAAGACAACGGCAAACTTCTTAGGAAAATAATTACCTATGACACATCTAGGAAAATAAAGACATAGATTGAAAATAAATTCTCTAAAAGAGCTTTCTTTCTTTCTTTTTTTTTTTTTTAAAAAGGACTCAATGATTATTACTTTCAAATTTAAAACCAACCTAGACCTATCATGGACCGACCAGAAAATTGTAATAACTAAGTTAATTGCAAAAAGGAGAGTTCAGAAGACTTACTTCACCCAGTAGGACCATGGCAACCACATAGACATGCGCATAAAATGTGAGGTTCGATTTCTATCTAGACTCTAGCTTGCAAAGTGGAGACGCGAGGATTACCGGGCTAAACCAGTCATGGTGGTGGTTAGGCCGGGGTTCCCTTGACTCCGGCTCAGTCAAGGAGTCAACCCGGGTTGCAAAGGGTGCAACCGTGGTGGGAACTCAATGACACCGTGAAAGAACTTCCGGGACCAAGGAGGGCGACCCAAACCACGCGGGTGTAGTCGGGGTGTCCGCTGTCTCAGTACCATCCTAAACCTGTGCCGCCCAGGTCCAGCAGCGGGTAGTGTGTGCGGTGTAGTGTAAATGCAAGGCATGCACATCAGGTTATATCAAACAGCGCTTCATGCATAAAATAAACCATTCATCCAAACACCTCTCTACAAAACAATAGTTAACAATCATGCCTCCCCTTATACCTCCCATTCTGCAAAAACATTTAACACCTAAAATGTTAGGGACATACCTGGGATCCTCGCTGCCAAACAAAAATATTTTTTGAAAAGAAAAACTGGCCTAAGTCCACTAAGAGCTTTAACTCAAGTCCCCAGCAGAGTCGCCAAGCTGTCGCGACCTAAAATTTCTCTCAGGCTAATGGATTGTTAAGACTAAGCCTAACTCGAGCCCTCCCAAGCCCTACCAATTCGCAACTTAGGGTTTAAGTTTTTTAACATGCAAAAGTTTTCATGCTTGGAGTCGCCACTAATCTATTTGTGGTAGGTCGATTAGAAATCTAAATAAAACATAGGGATATATGTTTTATTCCTACGAACCAGAGATTCTAAGCTCGGGGACTTGATTACGCTAGATTTAGTCTAACGCCCTTTCGGTACCTTTTCTTTTCAAAAACATTTGTGCAGGCAGTCTGGATCCATTTTAACTTAGTCACTAGCATGTGAGGTGATCATGCGGATGCGCAAACCACCAAAGTAACACCTAATAATCAAAACATTAAATAAATTGCAAGATTGGGAGAATTACTTACCTCGAAGCAACGTAAGCATCTGCATTGTTAGCTAGAAAATCACATCAACAATTCTAATATGATTTCTAATTAACAAGCAGTTCACTCAATATTTTTTAGGATTTTCACTTATTTAAATGAAAACTAACCTATATGTAATGACGTGCAACAATTAACATGCGATTAATGCAGCCTAACATGCAAACTATATGTCATGCGACGACGTGACCTAATTCTAATGATGGACAAATGATTTATTTTTGGTATTTTCAAATGAAATTCGGAATTAAAAAAAATGCCTAAATTAACATGCAATCTATTCTAAAAAAAGGATAATTTAATCTATCCTAAAGTGGCTTCTTTTTGGTATTTTTATGAAAATTCGAAATCAAGAATTACCCTAAAATGAACCGTCGAGATCAGGATAATATCTAAATTAAACTAGGAAATAAATTACTCTAATTCCTAATTTAAATTAAAAAGTTATCCTATCGACTTATTCAAAGAAAGTTATTCTAAACCTATCCTAAACATGCATCATTTATCTTCTAATAAAATCAATTCAAATCCTAACTAATCTTTTTTTGGAATTTTCTTTTTAAAGAAATAAATCAAACAGACAGATAACCACCGCGATCAAAATCAATCCACGCGATCCGCAATATTTGTTTTATTATCTTTGAATTAGGGAAACGATATAAACCGGCGATCATATCCATGTGGTTATGGATATTGATGGAAGGCTATTCGTTTGAATTTGGGAACAAAATAAAATCTATTATCGTATCCAAATTGTTATGGACAGGATAAAGATTTTCCGTGCCGCCGGGTATCGTATCTCATGATTGAGATCGGATAGTCGTCCCGACACGTTGTTAAGTTAGGAATTTCCTAACTTAGTGTATTTTTTGGAATCTTGCGAATATGCCATGCATCATTCAAATATATCTACTAACTAACCAAAGACAACAAAATCACTCGAATTAGGAATTTAAATATTTGAAACGATATCGGATAAAGTTTCTTACCTAATTTACGGATAACTTCCAAATTCGAGCTTGATGCCGGATCGGGTTTGCCGATCACGGGACGGCCGACTGTAAGTGGGACAGCGGCGTAGACTCAGCTCGCAACGGTTTCCGGCTCAATTTGCGGTGATGCTCGCGAATCATGGGAATTGGTGATAGTGGTACTCGACGGCGAGGACGGTGGGATAATGAGGCGATGCTCGGCCTTGGCGTGAAGCTTTCATTGGCCGACGGTGAAGAGTAGCGGCGATGTAAGTGACTGTCAACAGACCGTAGGGGGCACCTAAGAATCTGCAAGAAAAACCACCAAAAGCACAAAATTGTTTCGTCGAGTTTCTAGTATCAAGATTAACTCGGTTGAGCACGTCGGGGACTGATCACTCTTTTCCACTCCAACTCTTTTTACTTTCTATTTATTTCTTTCGCTGGGAAGGTCCATGAAAGAGATGGAGTGCATGAGAGAAATTCAACAGATCTACGTGTCGATGGAATGCTCTTGAGGATCTCCCACTTTGAACCCTTTTTTATTTTAATCTTTAATCCACCACTTGACTTTTGTCCTTTTCTCTTCTATCAACTTTCGGTCACTGATTGTGCGGTGGTGTGGGACGGACCGAGGTTGCGGGGACACCAGGGAAGTCAAACAAACTTGTTGGTCGTAAGAGAAATCGTCAACAAACTGGGATCACCTGGAACCGGGAGGTTGGAGACGCAAGAGCTCGCGACGACTACTTTGACGTTCGTTGGATTCGCTGGACGTCCTGGATGAGCAGCTCTCGGTGGCAGGTGCAGCAAGAACCAGTGACGATACAGAGTGCAGGCGTTTGTTCAGGTTGGTGACGACAGCGGGAGCAGCGGCGGGCCAGGCGCGGGAACAGCGGTGGGGCACGTCGGATGGCGGTGGCAACGATCAGCCCTCTCTCTCTCTCTCCCTCCTTGCTCTCGCTCTCGTGTGCCTCTCGTGCTCTCAAAAATCGTGTTCTGAAAATTATCAAAGCCCCTTTGATTATGACGCATAACGACATATTTATATCGCAACCCTAGGTTAATTAACTGGGCTTCCTAGTCCTAATGGGCTTAGACTTAGGCTTTATCATTTAATTTAATTTTAATTCCAAATGGGCTATATTAATTCGGGCTAATTTAAGCTCAAATTAAAACAACCAAAGCCGTTTAGACTTGTGAATTTTGGCCCCCAATCCCTTGAGTGAGCCGAGTGCTCGAGCTCGGTTTACGCGATGAATTTTCAGCTTTCTCACCACCGCCGGTTCGATGCGGAATGCAACTAACCTATATGAACTTAAACTATATGCTATGCAATTTTAATATTTTTGTTTAGGGGTTAAAATTTAATCCCTAATTTTCTATGCAATTAATCTCTAAATGGTTAGTCAAAATTTAGGTGTTAACAGTCGCAAATTAGCGACGAACTGTAATGATCGCAAAATTCGGCTTAAAATATTCGTCGCTATTTTTACATCATTTCGGCCATAAATTCTTGTCCATATCAAACAAAGGAGACAATGACATATAATTGAAACAAAAAAACGAACAAACCATAGATTCTGACGGACCAGCCACAATGACATATAATTGAAACAAATAACTGAAGGAAAGTTGCAGAGTCTGACATGATGCTATTTGATATCCAATCTTACAATACATTCAAAACATGAACTAAGAGACGGGACAACCATAGAAGACGCAGAAAAACCATACACAAGAAGACGCAGCTTTAGTACGATGGCAGGACACCAAAAGTAGTCACTTTTATCGAGACCTGAGGAAATGTCGATACATAAATCAGTCCAGAATATAAAAGAAGCGTTTATGCATGGATGTGGAACTAGGTGTAAAATAACAAGAGGGTTAACAAAAATACGTTTCAGGACGAACATAAATGTTCTTACATATGAATATGAGTGAAATTATGAAAAACCAAGATTATGAAGCAAGCTTACCCCCGATTT